CCGGTGGAGATGATTTGGGAAAATACGAAAGCCATGGCAGAGTTCCTGCCCATGGAACCTTTCAATGTGCAGTGTGGACTTCAGGTGGAAACAGGTTCTAGATTACTGTAAAGACAGAGCTTCCAGTAACAGCTTTAAGATCTTTTGTAAAGTTTTTCTCTAAGGACAAAGACACAGATTGTTTCCCAAGATTTTTTTATGTCTCCTGCTATTGTAAGTGTGTATTTGTTTCCATTTTGTTTTTTGTAGCCCCTTTTTACTGCAGGGCAGCTCTGCTTTCACTGTTCTTTATAGTCTGCAAAAGAAAGGTTTCCTGATTTGATGGCAGCCAAAGGTGGGGCTGATTTGCAAACTCAGGGCTCAACTTTAAGTGGAGAAATGGGAAGAGGACATTTTGCTTCTAGGAAACCGGGCCCTTATTGACAAAGTGAGAAAAGAGGAAGAAAATCTAGCTGAGTCATAGTAGCTAATGTTAGTTTAGCATTTCCTGTTTGTCAGGCACTAGCTAAGCAGTGTCTACACATGAGTTGATGAAACAACTCTAAAAGACAGGCATTATTATTACTTTTGCTGTACAGATGTGAGAGGAGCTTGGAGAGATTAAATGACTTGCCTAATCTCACCAGCCAGTTTGTGGTGGGGCTGAGCTCCCTGCCGCTCAGTACCCCACACTTCTGCGCTGTGCTGTCTTCCGGGGACACTGGCTGTTGGGGAGTGCTGATAGAGCTGCTGGCTGAGAGAAACTATTCAGGAGCTGTGGAGGGGGTGATATAGACCCACCTCAGCCAGAGAACTATTAGCCTAATGTCGGTTGTCTGTGGGAGAATTTCAAGACAAAACAAAATCTGTGCTGTGAAAGGCAGGAGGCCTTTGATGACTCCAAGGGTGATGGAATGATGAAATGCAAGATTTTCTGCTTCTATTCAGGAGACAGTGACATATTTGACCATTTGGCTACAGAAAAAAGGAGACAGAATCTATTTATCTGGTTCAAAAAGCAAATCGATGCATGAGAGGCAAAGCACCTTTACATTCACACCCTGTGTACTTGTCCTTTTCTGCATAGACCAAGGGTAAAAGGAGAAGCGATGGTGAGAAATCCAGGCACCCTGTCGACTCTGCCTTTGTGAGGAATCATAGTTCAGTATCACGAGAACTCCTGACAACCTTCTCTGAGAAAACAGATAGGAACACAGCGTAGAAGATTTGAATGAGGGCTGTTAGAAGACAGCATCAGCTGGGCGCCGTGGCTCATGCCTGTAATCCCAGCACTTTGGCGGGTGGATCACTTTGAGCTCAGGAGTTTGAGACCAGCCTGGGCAACATGGCAAAAGCCCCCCGTCTCTACAAAAAAATGCAAAAATTAGCCAGGTGTGGTGACTTGCACCCGTAGTCCCAGCTGCTAGGGAGTCTGAGGCTGGAGAATCGCTTGAGCCCACGAGGTGGAGGCTGTGGTGAGCTGAGATTGCACCACTCCAGACTGGGCAACAGAGTGAAACTCTGTCTCAAAAAAGACAAAAAAAAAAAAAAAAAAAAAAAGACACAGCATCGATTCATAGAGGTTGTGGGACACGTCACGTACTTCAAAGTCATTTGGAAATTGTTTCCATGGGCAGTGAATTAACCCCTAACGTTCCATCTGTTTCAGTATTAGCATTCCTCCTGCAGTGTGAAATTGTTTCTTTGCAAGCTCATCTTCACAGAAAGTTGCTTTATTTGATTTTACTTTTCTATCTCTGAATCACTTTGGTTTCTAGTAATATTGAATTGTTTTCAGGACTTTCAGATGAGAGCTGGGTTTTTCTATAGATTCTTATGACTCGATCCTGGGGAGATGACAGGTGTATGTCATTGGGCTTGTGGGAAGTCGGGTCGAGCACTTACCAGAGTGAGGCTTTCTGGGCTTCTTTCAGCCCTAGCAGGTCTCACCTTTCTGTGGGCCATGACCTTAGACTGGTTTTCACATTCTGCCCTCCTTTCTTCCTCCCTGCTGAGAGAGCCTCGCTCCAGGACAGCTTGCTGTCGGTAGGGGACGTACTTTTATTTCTCCATTGTCAGGCAAAAGGCAACATCCTGGCTTCCTCTGTTGTTTGCAAGACCAGGAGCCAAGCTGATCCAAGCTTTTACCCCGGCTCTGCCACTTTGTATTTATTTCTGGCCCTTTGAAGCTGTGTCTTTTATTTTTCTTTTTTCTTTTCTATCATTGTTATGTCTGAGTGAAATGGGATATTGAAAGTGTAAACTCATAGCATTTTGTTTACCCAGAAAAGAGAGACATATTTCAAGCGAGCATAAGAAAAATGTCTAATTTAAATCTGCCTGAAAGAAAATGGGCTGACTTGTAAGTACAAATCATAAAGGAGAGGTTGAATGATCGTCTCTTAGAGAAGCTTTAAAGAGAATGCCTTCTTCTTCCTTATTCGGAAGGGGTGGTGAATTAGATTTCTACTAAGTTCTCTTGTGGGTCTGTGAGTCTGGCTCTATTCAGGGCTGTTGTTTCTGCAGTTGGTGATCCCAGATGGTGGGCTTTTTCTGAGTGTTTATGTCCTTTTTATGGCCTTTAAGACCCCTTCTTGCAGTTTATTAGAACTGTCTACTTTTACTGTGTTTAATTTGTGCTTTTAGCAGTGCAGAAACAATGTCAAGTACAAACATCAGAACTAATTTAGCATCAGGCATTTTTGTTTGGACTTCAGTAGCAAGCTTTGTTGGTATTGCACGTAAAAGAAGAGACTAAAGAAGCTCTGGGTCAGAATCTAAGGGTCTGTCTCGGAGCAAGTTCCCCAGTTTAGGGAAATGGACAGACTTTTTGACATTTATAGGTCTGGATTTTTAGTTACCACACGGGGTGAACCGTGTGGTCTGCCTTTTTAGAAGATAAACACAATTTTAGACATAATTGGTAGACAAGCAAGTTTTACAACCTGGGAAGTCATCTTTGTGGAGGAGAAAGAATTTTAGATGGAAGTCAGGAGAACCAGCGTTACCATGACTCTGATACTTCTAATCATTTAGTCTTGAGAAAATTACATGGTTTTTTTGCACCTTAGTTTATCAATCTTCAAGTTCACTGAATTTGATTAAGCAATGTTTAAGGTTTCTTCATCTCCACAGGTTCTAAAAATCACATGCCACTGCTTCCAGGAGTGTCTGTCTGTATCCAGAAGGGGGTTGAGGCTCCCTACACCTTAGCAGTTAAGGGGTTGGCCACTGGCATTAGGCATTCCTATTTTTGAATGCCATTTCTATCATGTAAGCCATGTGATACTAAGGAGGTCACTTACCCTTCCCATTCTCTGTTTCCTTATCTATAAGATGGAAATGAAAATTGTATTAGTATCTATTTTACAGATAATGTTTTAAAGTTTAATACAAGAATTCATTAAAGGACTTTGCTCAGGCATGGCACATAGAAAGGCATCAGTATGGGCCGGGCGTGGTGGCTCACACCTGTAATCCCAGCACTTTGGGAGGCCGAGGTGGATGGATCACGAGGTCAGGAGATTGAGACCATCCTGGCTAAAATGGTGAAACCCCATCTCTACTAAAAATACAAAAAATTAGCCAGGCGTGGTGGTGGGCGCCTGTAGTTCCAGCTACTTGGGAGGCTGAGGCAGAAGAATGGTGTGAACCCAGGAGGCGGAGCTTGCAGTGAGCTGAGATCATGCCACTGCACTCCAGCCTGGGTGACAGATCAAGACTCCATCTCAAAAAAAAAAAAAAAAGAAAGGCATCGGTATGTCCATCTTTGTGTTACTGTGAACTTCTTGAGAGCAATCTTTCTACCTTATCTGTCACAGTCTAGCTCATTTATCTCTTATTTTGATTGCTTCGTTATGGGTTTTATATGAAGTAGTGTTCAATAAATGAATGATCTAGTATTTTCAAGAAGCATGACTCATACAAATATAGAATGAATACATGTCAAAAAATTTGCTTAGCTCTTTAATGAGGGAACCTGCAAGATGGTAAAGCTGATTTATCAGAACTAGAGAAAAAGAATTATGTACTTCATATCAAAATAATTTTTCTAAATTTGATGCAAAACTGATCAAAAGTCCTATGAGAGAATAAAACTATAAACTTTAAAGCAATCATCTCTTCTTGACATTTGTGTCTCTATAGGACGGAAATCTATGTTAACCTACAGTTACACAATTCTTAGATAGGTCTGTGAAACACTATTTTAGTATGACATTATAAGGACATTCAAGTCCTTTTTTGCCATTTCCAAGTTCTGGTCAATTTTTCTAATTAGTTATAAGACTAAACCCGAAGTATTATTTATCTTAGAAAAAGATTAAACAGGTATATGATTCTAGTTTATAAGTATCAATTTCCTGCCTAAACTTATAATAGATACTAGGTCTGTCCATAATTATGTTTTCATAATGTTTCATTAAGGAAAATAGAGGGATATTTAGGAAAACACTATCAATTTCCAAGATGATACTATAGAGGGCAACCATTTAATAAGTACTTACATGGGCCATGCACCATGTTAAGTGCTGTGTGGACATTTTAGTTTAATTAGTAAACAACCGTGTGAGGTACGTATTATTATCCCCATTTTGAAAATCAAGTAAATGAGTCTCAGTGAGGTTAAATAATTTAGTCAAGATTATGCAGCCAGCATGAGTCAGAATGGAAATTCAGTCTGATCCTGAGTTTTACATTCCCTCCTGTGCCCTGTTATACTACCAAAGTCTTAAACTCGGAGAAATTTACAAGCATGTTTCCAGTTAAACACACACATGAATGGTTTTAGTTTTGCTTGTATGACAGAGCATGTGCAAAATGGTCCTTTTTCTTTTAACCATTTTAAAACTGCCAGCGATAAGCGACCTTTCTGTTCTCTACTCACTGAATTAAAACATACATGTTTTAAAGAAAAATAAAATCATTCTGTTTAGCTCTTGGAAGCCTCTGTTTCTCACACTGTTTTCTTTGTAACTTATTTATCTTTCTTATATCTCTTCTGGCCCCCGATATGCCTGTAGGTGGGCTGGATCCTTTCTATCCTGGATGAACTGCAGCTGAGCCCTCAGCCTCCCGTGGGGGTCCTTCCTCTGGGGACTGGGAATGACCTGGCTCGAACTCTCAACTGGGGAGGGGTAAGAACTGCTCTCGGGGACTGCCCATATCATCAAACAACAAACCGAATTCTAGATCCACTGATGTCCTAATGGAAGCGGGGTGTGGTAACTGCTGCTGTTGTCCAAGGCATAAGTTATAGTTTGGAATCAAAGTGCCCTTGAACCCTTATTTGGTCTGGTAGCTTCTTCAGTTTAAACTTATAATCAGCTAGAAGGGAAAGGAAAGCTTAGTATGAGAGAAATAATAGTGGTTAGTATATAGGCCTGCGGCTTTTTGAGGTATCCACTAAAAGATAGTTCGTGAGTTTGGCCTCAAGTCTGTGTGTAAAAGGATCATACAGACTTCAGTTCATCCAGACTGTCAGCCCCAGCTGTGATAGCAAATCTGGTTCAACTTTACACGCCTGACTTGGGAGAGTTATGACTTTTTTTTTTGAACATTTTTTTTTTTATTAGTGCCATCAGAGCTTTGGCTGTATAGGTACTTACCTGTCCTTTCCACAATGAAGCCAACTTCAGGCAAGCTTGGGGGAAATTGTTCTGCAGTTGCTAAACAGCCATTTATTTCCTTATGTATTTTATAGTACTAAGATAGTAGGAAGGCACACTATATATACATACGCTGTGTATATATACATATACATACACATATACAGCCCCACCAACATTTATTTATTTATTTTTGAGACAGAGTCTCGTTCTGTCGCCAGGCTAAAGTGCAGTGGTGAATCTCAGCTCACTGCAACCTCCGCCTCCCAGGTTCAAGCAATTCTCCTGCCTCAGCCTCCCGAGTAGCTGGGATTACAGGTGCCCGCCACCCTGTGCAGCATTTTTTTTTATTTTTGTATGTTTATTAGAGACAGGGTTTCACCATGTTGGCCAGGCTGGTCTCGAACTCCTGACCTCGTGATCCACCAGCCTCGGCCTTCCAAAGTGCTGGGATTACAGGCGTGAGTCACTGCACCTGGCCCCCACCAACTTTTTATCTGCTCATGGGAGAGCATTACCTGAGCTGGGCTTTGTGAAAATTATATTCAGATGCTTAGCAGATGTTAGTTGACCTTTGGGCAGATTAATCTTCCACAGGTCTTTTTTTAAAGTAGGTAATGTAGAAATAAAAAATGTATTTACATGGGGCAACTAAGGTTATTATCAGTGTTAACTTCTCCATTCCAAATCAGGGCCTTGAATATTGAGGACAGTCTATCTTGCTGTCAGTCATGGATCTTCAAGGATTAAGTAGCTCCCTAACAGGGCCATTCCTCAGTGAGACTTGCCTAAGGTCTTGGGAAGAATGGTGTCCTCCAAGGAGGTCAGGGAGAGGTGGTTGAGAGGGAATGTTAATAGACAACATTGTCAATCCCATCCCTCCTTGATTCTTTCCTTGCCTCTCCAAACACATTTGTTTTGTGTTTCCCCCAAATTCCTCTAGTGAGAGCCACGAGGAGTCCTGTTTTTTACTCTGATAAAAGTAGCCATCCAGCCTCCAGTATGACCCTTAATGTGTACCAGTGACTATTGGTTCTTGCTGTTGACAAAAAATATTCCTGAGCTCAAACCAGCCAGAGCTAGTGTTTCTATGTATCTTACGGTATTGTCTCAAATATACCTCAAGGTGAAAAATTTGCTCTCCAAACCTTGCTAATTACAAAATAAACAGAATATAGCGGCTTGGCTCTTCCTTGCATAAAATAGCATTGGCTTCCCTGTTCTCCACTCTGGGCAGCAATGGATATGTTCTCTGATTCCTCAGGGCTACACTGATGAGCCTGTTTCTAAGATCCTGTGCCAAGTGGAAGATGGGACAATTGTACAGCTAGATCGCTGGAACCTCCATGTGGAAAGAAACCCCGACTTGCCTCCAGAAGAACTTGAAGATGGCGTATGTAAGGTTAGAGAGTTTTTTGTTCTTCAGAAAGGAACCCTGGAGCATCGGCCTGAGCTACACGAAATAAATTCCTGGCTGGAGAGTCACGTGCTGATGAATTCCTATGAGATAATGTGATAGTGTTTGAGTTGATGGCTACTAGGGCTATGGGTATAGTAGTACCACCTAATGATTCTGCCCCAATGACCTCTAAAGACCTAGATTCCATACCTGCTTCCAAAGCTCAGGGAGCTCTTCTCTGTCTTCAGCCTCTGCACTAGAAAGGCATGTATTCTGTCTTAATCATTCATGGTAGTAGCAAATAACTTATGAGAAGATGAAGAAATTTGTTAATTTGGAAGCAATGGGAGCTTATTCTTTCAGTAGAAGTACAACCTCCTGAGATTTCAGGCCTGCTATAAAATATATCGTATGTTGAGGAAGTATTAACTATGCCAATTGTATCACTTTGGTGGGACTTGAAGATACCTCAATAAATGTTTTGACTTCATGTTATTTAAAAAAAATTGACTTAATTTAGATTCAAGCTGCATGTGTGCAAGTTTGTTTCATGGACATATTACATGATGCTGAGGTTTGGGATATGATTGATCCCATCACCCAGATAGTGAGCATAGTAACCAACAGGTTTTCAATGCTTGCACCTCTCCTTCCCTCCCCACTCTAGTGGTCCCCAGTGTCTATTGTTGCCATCTTTATGTCCAGACTTCATGTTTTCTTTTAGTGATTGAGCTTTTATTTCAACCAAAAAGCCAACCAAGGGATATATTAATAGTTGTGATTAGTACTGTGAGCCTTCAGTTGATCCTTTGGTTCTAAGTTATGGCCTCAATTTCAGATAAATTTGGGAGGCTGCTGAGTAGCCACTTCCCTCATATTACTTTCCACTTTCCTTCTGTGATTGAAGTTTCAAACTCTGTATGTGTAAGAATCTCCAGGTGTGTTTGTTAAAATGCAGATTACAAGGCCCAGTCCCCAGAGATTCTGATTAAGTAAATGCAAGTTAAGGACCAAGCATCTGGACTTTAAATAGTATCCCAGTTATAGTGAACCATGCCATTTATTGAGGCTAAGATTTCATGGATGTTTCAGGCTTATAATAGATTAAACCCCATATCATTTTAGATTTAGATCAAACCAACACCTATTAGCATCCTGATCCTGATCAATTTAATTACATATATTATAATTTAATAGATGTTCAGGTTTCTTACTTGGCTAAATGAGATTAAAACATGTTTTACTCTGTCTTTATGGTTTTTTCACCTAAACTAAGATCCTGAAATTCTAGTAGATTTCTAGTAGATATCATGATTGCTCAGCTGAATTCAAGTTTATAATGTCACAATGTTGTTTAAACAACAAGTATCATCTTGAGATGTGATGCTTTTTTATAATGTGTTTGACTTATAGAAATTGGATAGAAAACAGCTGAAATATAAAGAAGAGTACCATATGGATATTTTAAGTTTCTTTTCCTACTAAACTTGGAATGGTTAGATGTGCAATAGAAATCCATATTTAATTCTCTTTCCAACAGCTTAAGAAATGGAAAGACTTCTTGGTGTAGCCAGGGAACACCAACCCAGATCAATCCAGATAATTAAAGGGTTTTTTAAAAAGGGGTTTTTAAAGAGATGTATGGGAAACTGGGGCAAGTTTTCCTGGAAAATATAAATAACTTAAAAACAGACTAAAGTGGGATATGATTTAGGTGATGGTGACCAGATGTTCTCCTTAGTTATCAGTAGATGTTAAGACGTGGGTTAGAATTGTGGCCAAAAGAACATAAATGGTAGAGGAGATGAACATGTCTGTGCTTTTGGCAGGATCACCAACCCATGCTGTCATTACTAAGAACTGGTATTTTGTTTAAGTGCAGGAACTGGCTATTCTCAAATAAGAAGCCTGAAGAGTGAGACATGATTTTGGCATTGTTCTATGTGTTTAGTTTCTCTCCTGGTCCTTCATTTAGTTGAGACCATTTCTAAGGGTTCACTTGGACTCTGAATCACTCATTACATAGGCTTTGAATCAAGAGCTTCCATGTGGGGTCGTTCCTTACTTTCATTAGAGACCAAGCCA